GTTCCCCACCCCTCAGGCTTCACCAGGCTCCCCGGTGGCAGCAGGGGACCCTGAGCACTCACTGTGAGGGGCCTGGATACTCACGGGTGTGGGAGTAGATGAACCAGAGCGCAGCGGTGAGCAGGGCCCCAATGAGGAAGGCACCAAAGGTGATGCCCAGCACGGCGGGCAGGACGAGGCCTTTACCTGTGCCAGCCGGGGAGGGCAGAGTGTCAGTGCCGCTGCCGCACGCTGCCCCTGCTGTCGGGGTGGCCAGGAGCAAGGTTGGCATTTATTTTTGGTTTTTCTGAGACAGGGTCTCACTATGTAGTTGAGACTGACCTGGAACTCACTATGTAGCCCAGGTTGGTCTCAAACTCAGTGATCCTCCTGCCTCGGCCTCCTGAGTGCTGGGATTACAGGCATGATCCACCACGCCCGGCTGCATTTATTTATTTACTTATTTTTAAATATTTGTGATTTTTGAGACACGTATCACTATATAGTTCACCTTGAACTCCCTATGTTGCCCAGGCTGGCCTCCAACTCCCTGAGATCCTCCTGCCCCAGCTTCCCAAGTGCTGGGATTATGGCCGTGCACCACCACATCCACCCAGGAGCAGGGTTTCTGTGCTTGTTCCATCTGTCACTGACCTCACTTCTCCGGACCTCAGTCTCTTCCTTTTGCAAATGGGCAATCACACCCTCCAAAATCAGCACTAAGATGCGTGTAGGGAGCGGGGATAGCAGGCTCTAGACTCCTTCCCTTCACAGTCCAGCCTCCCAGTGAGCCTGGGTAGGGACCTCCCCTGTGGTCGCCCACGTCCCATCTGCTTTCAGATCCTGGCCAGGGGCAGGCACCCTTGCTTCTGCCACCAACCTCAGAGACCCTTGTGTCTGTGGGCCTGGGCCTGGGGGAGCTAATGAGGCCAGAGGTTGCTGGGCTGAGTAGCATCCTCCACGCAGGGCCCTCGAAGAACGCAAGGCCACCATTGCACATTATGTTCCACCCGGGAGGCCCCACCCCCAGCAAGGTCACGCAGCCACCAGCGGGTGGAGAAGACCACTGGACAGGGAGCCAAGGCCTGGGATGCCTCCTCCTCGTGGTCAGGGCCAGCCTCCACCCTTCAGGTGCAGCCCAGTGCTGGAACCCTGGAAAGCCCTTCTGCCGCGGTGCAGGGCTGGGGGAACTCACCGGACAGGTCGGGGCTGACGATATTCACTCGTGTGGAGACGGTCCTGTGCACTTCCTGGAGAGGAAGAGAGCCGAGCGGGCTGTGGCAGAACCCGGAGGCAGCGTCCAGGTCTCCCTGGCTCTGGTGCTGGCCTGGAGCTTTGGCTGTGGGTCCCACCCTACCACTTTCTAGCTGGGAGCCTGTGGGGGGCTCCCAAGGACCTTGCTGGGGGCTGGCCTCAGTGGACTTGGCTGCCACAGGGATTCCTGTGAGTTCCAAGAGGGCCGGGCACCGGTGAACACTTACTCTGGTGCAGATGGACCCACGAGCCAGGCCAGCCTGAACGCCCAGCCTCATGGAGTAGAGAGGGAGGCCACTCGGGGCCAGATGCCTTCCCTACCCTCATACACCCAGAGAGGTTGTGGATCCTGAGGAGTTGTCTGTGTGCAAAGACCTGGGATGACCTCATCTGTGTCCAGCACTGAGGGCCTGACCATGGGGATGTGCTGGACAGCAAGGCTTTGACACCAGCAAACGCAGAAAATTGGGATGTTGCGTTCTTCTTCCTTAACGTCCCCTGTTCAATGAGATGACGCTGGAGACCAGGCCGCACGGGTAGGTGGGTGGATGGGTGGATGACAGGCTGGGACGGTGGAAGTACTGATGGCGGGGGTGATGGATGGGCCGGTGTACGCGGCAATCCCACCAGAGGCTGTAGGTGGCAGTGAGTGCCCCTTGCCGGCTGGCCCCCCCTGCTCCTGGACTGCCACTTCCCTGCCTGCAAACCAGAGACCCAGGAGCCACCCCTGAAGCCAGGCCGGGCTCAGGCCCCCCTCACCTGGGGCAAGTCCCTGGGTTTCAGGGTCACAGTGCAGCTGAGGGTGCCGGCGGTGGGTATGGGCACCCTGTAGACACGGAGGAGGAAGCTGAAGCGAGGGGCACCGTCAGGGCTGGGGGGCAGCAGGCTCACGCAGCTGCTCTTGGCTGCCTGGCCCTGGATGAGTTCCACAGTGTCCACCTCAGGCCCCAAGTCCAGGTGACAGCTTTCCAGCAGGAACGTGATGTCGGGAGTGGATGGGGACATGGTCACCTGTACAGGGAGGCGCAAGGGGACCAGGCATGGGCAGCTACTCTGGAGCTCTGCCCTCTGCTGTCCCGAGCTAGCGGAGAGTCCCCATCCCTGGGCCCTCACAGTGGGAGGACAGAGGAGCTGGCCTGGAACACACAGGAAGCGGGGAGGGTGACATTCTTTTCAGTGTCCCGGAGCAATGCCGTCCCTGACTGTTCCTGCCCCAGGCATCCTCCCCTCCCCTCGGGAAGTTGTGTCCTCATCTTTTCTGCAGCAGTGGCGGAAGGTCAGGTGCAAAGGGACTGGGGCGGGGCATCCTTACCTGTACGAAGCCCTGCTGGCCCAGCTCCATGGCGCTGGAGGCCTGGAGGAAGTGTGGGCTGAGGTAGAGGCCCAGCTGGAAGGAGAGGCCGTCCATGTTGGAGCAGTGCACCTTCTTCTGCAGAGGGGTGGGGTGGCTGTCAGGGTGGGCTGCACCAGCCAGGAAGTGGAGGGTGGGTGGCAGCAGGAGTCGTGGGCTGGAGTGGCCCTGCCTTCATCCTCATCCTTTTAAAAAGGACACACTGACACCTGGCTTTCCATGTGACATCTCAGTGACAAAGGTCCAGGAGGGTGAAGGGATCTGCCCACAGCCGCACAGCCAGTGTGACTCTGACCCTTGAAAGCACTGTAGAGGGGAGACTGAGGCACACGGGAGACGGGCTCTCCAGGGCCAAGGTCTGAGTTTTCTTTTCTTCCCGCTTTTCTTTCAACTCACTCCGCCGCTCCTCTCCTCTCCCCTCCCCGCCTTTTTCTTTTTGTGAGACTGGGTCTCCCTATGTATTCTAGACTGGCCTTGAACTCACTGTGTAGCCCAGGCTGGCCTCACAGCGATCCAATCTTCCTGCCTCAGCCTCCCGACTACTAGGATTATAGGAATGGGCACCAACACGCTTGGCCAAAGCCTGAGTTTTCTGAAGCCCGCTTCCTCCCCGACCCCGGCGCCTGGAGAGGGTGGGTACACGGTGACGAGCCCTCTCACCCTCAGTGGTGCTGAGTCCGACAGGATACTGACGACCACCTGTGGGGACAGAGAAATTAGCTGGTCAGAGGCAGAAGGGCCCACAGGACCGGGGAGGCAGTGACAGGGACACCAACGGAGCCGGTCCTGACACCCTTCTCGCCGGGCCCTTACCTCATTGCTGACCACGTGTGCTGTCCTTTCCATGCCGCAGCTGGAATAGTCGCTGCGCAAGACCAGCTGGTCATTGCTGTCCTTAGCCTGGCACATGGGGTCCCAGAAGGTCAGGCTGGTGATGTCACACTGCAGAGCCTGGGTCAGGGAGGGCACCGTCAGGAGGAGGGGGCTCCCGGGACCTGTCATCATTCTCCGTCCTGTTTTGTGCACCTGCATCACCCCACACAACTGAAAACACTTGCTCTGTGCTTGCCCTCAGCATTCGCTGACCTCATGAGTGTGACTTGCCGCTTAGTGCTTGTTTTCTAATATGTGGATTAAAAGAAATCTAGAACCAGTAAAACCCAAAACAGTCATTCAAGTTCCACCTATAATCCTCACTCACAGCCAAGGCTCAGGCCCAGCCCACAGCACAATCCAATCCCAGATCTAGAAGTGGGCAAACTTATAAAGAGCCAGACAGCCACTAGTTTAGGCCCGAAGGACCATGTGGTCTCTGTGGTAATGACTTAACTTTGTTGTCACAGCCTGAAAGGAGCCATGGGTGATATGCAAATGAACGAGTGTGGCTGTGTCCCAATAAAACTTTATTTACAAAAGCCAGCACCAGGCCACGGTTGGCCAACCTCTCCCGGAAGAATGGTTCCGATTTTAGTGTATGTGCTGCCGAAGCGACCACGACCTGGAAGAATCGAATCCTAGAATTTCTCAGTCACTTCCTTAGGAGCAGAGAATCTCAGAGTTGAGTGGGAGGCTGGAGGTCCCTCCCGAGGCCTGTTAACCCCCGCCCTCTAGGGTGTGCCCTGACGGCTTCTGTGCCCCGTATCCCTAGCACATCCCTGACGCCTATGCTGATCGGGCCTCCTTAGCCAACATCCGCCCTCCAAATAAAAATGGCTCTGGGGGAAGCTGTGGCGGTGTGTGGGCCTCTGCACATTGAGAGGGTGGGTGGTAGGCTCTGGGCTGGGGTGAATCTGTAAGGACCATTTTCTTCCATACAGATGTACATGCTTAGAGAAAGTGTGCAGATTTGTATCTTTGTTTTGTTTGTAGCCCAGGCTGGCCTCGAATGCTTGGTGAGCCTCCTGCCTCAGCCTCCTGAGTGCTGGGATTACATGCCCAAGTTTTGGTGCACTGGGTAAGGAAGTTCTTAAGCGCTGGGGTAGAAGGTGGAGAGCTCTGGAAAGTGTCAACAAGAGGCACTGACAGGGGATGCCGCTTTCCTGGGACTGGGCAGCAGCACAGCGACCAGCACTGGTCACCGGCCACCTCCTCCTCCTCCCAGACACCCACTGGGACAGACAGATGCCAGAGAGGAGCAGGAGAAGGACCGCAGACAGGTGGGGCTTCATTTGGGCCGGAGCCTCAAAGCCAAAGCTGCCATGTAGCCTTAGTCACAGAATTCAGCATCACTTCTGAATATCCAGAGAGGGCATGGTGATTCATCAACGCTCTGCAGAGAGATTTCTGGCCTCAGAGGAAATCAGAGAGTGGAAGATGGGCAGCAGCTGGACAGTAGCTGGATGCCCCACTTTTTTATTGCTTCTAGGGACCAAACACAAGCCCTGTACCAGCAGGCTACACCCAAGACCCCCAAAGATTTTTAAACGTCCAAAAGTTAACAACCACTTTAGTGGGGATGGGGAGTGGTAAAATGCACATTCAGTGTGTGTCAGGCCCTGAGTTCGATCCTCAGCACTGGGGAAAAAAAATCTACTGCAGCTAAACTGTAAAGAACCACAACAAATCAGTAGAAAAGAAACAGGGCCAATGTTTTCTGGGAGGGGACTGGGGGTTGAACCCAGGCCCTTCACACCGAACTATATCCCCAGCCACTTTTATTTTTTAAATTTTGAGATAGGGTCTCACTAAGTCACTGTGTTGCCTAGGCTGGGCTTGAATTTGCAATCCTCCTGCCTCAGCCTCCCTGAGTGCTGGGATTAAAGGCATGAGCTACCATGCCCAGCAAGGGCCAAAAATTTTTATGGGCCACACTTTTCGATGTAAAAAAGCCTATAAAATTATCAAGAAAAATACCAAACCCCAGCAATAAAGAGACAAGTTATTATGACTCACACAGAGCTACACATACTCTTACTGCTAACAAAAGAATTCTAAATTTAAGGGCTGGGTGTAGCTCAGTGGTACAGTACTTGTGAGTGTGCTTTCGGCCTGGGCTTTCATCTCTAGTTCTGTGAAGGACAAAACAAAAAAGGAATTATAAATGGAGGCTAGAACTCCACGTTCCATCTCCCACACTGGCAAAACTTCTTTTGTTTGTACGCGCTTGCTTTTCATTAGTCTGGAGAGAGAGAAGCTGAAAGTCAAATGTTTTTTGGGAAGGCTCATTGGCAGTGTGTGTCAAAGCCTCGTGGGCTCTGGCCAGCACCCCACTCATGTGGAAATCGGTCCCGAGAAAATAGCCTTGTAAAGAAAAGTTTCATCCACAAGGACACTTCCCGCATATTATAATATTACCGGATGAGAAACAAGTTAAAAGTCTAACAAGGGGGAGAAGTTAATTACAGCCTGTCAACATAATGGGGTAATATGTGCTTATTATTAATGATATGATATTCAGTACAGATGTCAAATTCCTCACAAATAGGTAAGTGAAATAGTGGGAGACAAATGAATATAATTCAGTGCTATGATTCAACAGTTTTCTTTCTTTTCTTTTTTTTTGGTACCAGGGATCAAAGCTGGGACCTTGCACTTGCGAGGCAGGTGGTGGCACCACTGAGCTAAATCCTGGGCCCACACAGTTACTTTTTTTTCTATGGAGTTTATTGTATCAAATTTATATATTACCTTGGAACGGTAAATTCTCTAAAAAGAATATTTAAGCTACTTCAATTCTAGTACTTCCCCTTTACCCCCTGGACGTAATAGAATAATGTGATCTTATACTGTATTAACTAACCTGTGTGAACTGGACCCCAGGAAACACTGTGCCTTATTTTATGAAATTGTTTTGTTGGGATCCAGTTCTATATTTTGGAAAAGTAACAGTATTTTCTTTCTTTCTTTCTTTTTTGTTTTGTTTTGTTTTTTGAGACAGGGTCTCACTATGTAGTTGAGACTGACCTGGAACTCACTGTGTCGCCCAGGCTGGACTCAACTCACAGTGATCCTCCTGCCTCAGCCTCCCAAGTGCTGGGATTACAGGCGTGTGCCACCACACCCTGCCTACTAACAGTATTTTCTTAGTGAACAAGAATTAATTTTTTAAAAAGTACCTGAAATCCTCATAATGTTTGTATTTGCCTGTTACTTGCTATATCTTTATCTGTATGTTAAATTTATTTAGTACATGAATACAAATTTTTAAAAATGTTAAAAAATGTTAGCATCCATTGTGTTCAGGTGGAGAGATAATGATTTTTTTTTCTTTTTTTTAGATGGGTTTCACAGTGTAGTCTGGCTTTGAATTCACTATGTAGCCCAGGCTGGCCTTGGACTCACAGTGATCCTCTGCCTCAGACTTCCAAGTCCTAAAACTCCATGCAAGGTCAAGATTTTCTTCTAATTCTTGCATATTTTAAAGGCATGTATTTTTTATTTTTATTTTTATTTATTTATTTATTTATTTATTTATTTTTGTTTTTTTTTGAGACAGGGTCTCACTGTATAGTTGAGACTGACCTGGAACTCATTGTGTAGCCCAGGCTGGTCTCGAACTCACAGTGATCCTCCTGCCTCAGCCTCCCGAGTGCTGGGATTACAGGCATGAGCCACCACGCCCAGCTAAGGCATGTATTTAAAAAAAAATAAATAAATACATTCATCCATCCATCAGGCAGAGACCACTTGTGAAGATCTTCTGTTAAGCTAACACCCAGTACAGCCAGCATTTGGGATTGATGGCAAATGCAGAGAACCGTCACCATTTACTGAGCATTTAGTGTGACATTTGGCATTTAGTACTTAGACCATGCCATGTGCCCAGCCTGTCAGATCTCACTTAATTCTCACCGCGTGGGAGGCACCATCACCAACTACACTGGACAACTGGGAAAATGGAGGCTTGTGGTGGATTGGGACTCCACCCCCTGCCCAGGTTAGGAGCCAGTACTCCCAGGCTGTGGCAGGAGCTGCTGTCCCCATGGGCACGGGCACAGGGGCAGGCACTCTTACCTTCACGTGATCCTTAAGGAGGACCAGTGTCATGACGCCGTTGGCGCACACGGGCTGGATCATGGACAGCAGCAGGTGCAGGCTGCAGTTCTCCTTGGGCGGGGCGGTGGGGACCGGCGCAGGCGAGGTCTGTAGCCCACTGCCTGTGGGACAGTCACTGAGTGCCCACAGCGCACTGGGCACCAAGCTCTCGTGCTTGCACACAGGACAGTGAGGCTCGGGGTGGCTGGTGACATTTGCCCAAGCTCACAGTATGGTGTGACAAGTTCAGGGGAGAAGAGGGTGGCAGGGGAAGGGGCTGGGGCTCACCGCAGCTGGCCCGCAGGGAGACGTCACTGGCCAGAGGAAGGTCCACAAAGGAAGCCACGATGCTGGCGTTGAGCGTGCGGGCCTTTCCCAGCAGGCCTTGTGGGGTCTCGGGGAGCGCAGTGCCAGGAATGTGCTTCTCGGGGAAGATTTTGAAGGAGTATCCACCAGTGGTCTACAGGCAGGGCGGCAGAGCAGGGGTCTCACGCACTCCCCCCACCTGCCCATCTGCCCTCATCTCCCGGCTCCTGACCGTCCTTCAACTCCGCACAGGGGTCGCCTCCCAGGGCTGGTCCTGACCCTCAAGGCTGGGTTTAGGGGCTCCCTGTCGGATCAGGGAAGCCTGCCTGGAGGAGGTGGCCGCTGAGTGGAGGTCTGGAGGAGGTGGTGGACCCAAAGCGCTGGGGACGGAAGGACTCAGGCCAGCGGTCTGGAGCCGGCGGGTGGCCTGATGGGGGGTCTGGGCTGTCTGCTGGCCGGTGCCACACTCACCCAGACCTGCACGTTGTGGTTGGCATCGATGATCCAGGACACGTAAGGCGGAGTCTGCAGGATGAGCACCGCGTCGGGATCCCCGACCGTGCAGCTCAGTTCCACCTTCAAGGTCACTGTCCGGGGCCTGTGAGGAGGCAGGTGGGCGGGTCAGCGCGGGCAGGAACTCGGGCTTGGTGGGGTCGGACAGGGACGGGCTGGGAGGAGCAATCGGCCTGGCCCAGGGTGGGCGGTGGCTGCGCTCTCACCGCGGTGTGGGGTGTGGCCTACGGGACGGGCGTGGTCGACAGAGGTCCTTGGGGGCGGGGCACGAGTGGGAG